GTTTCCAGGCTGCGGTACTCCGAGTGTTGCAAAAACGATTTCTTGGTACACGTTGCTGTTCTGCCCTAGTCCGACGAGCCGCTTACTTCCTGGAACATCAAGAGTTGAGCCTAGATACTGAGACCCGACTGCAAATTAAGTTAGGTAGAAGTGGTCAGCATGTCCCGAATTTTGTAGTTTCTAGTGTTTTAAAAACGCTTTGCAACGCGTGGTCCACCACCCGTCGGTACCATCAGGGCCCTGGCCGATGTTTGTTTGGGTGCTCCAATGTAGGTGGGGACGACCTAGTGCACTACCTGTGTTGTCCAGTTGCTGAGCCTGTCCTGTTAGAGCTTCTTCCGAGACTGGATCCAGAGTTTCTGAATCTTAGTGGCCCTCAGAGGGCCTGCCCGCACCTGTTTCCAGGAGACCTGGATTCTACGGTCAGCTGTGCGATTTTCCAGGACATCTGTTTTCACTCTTTCAACAAACTCCGCAATGCTTCCAGGAGGCTGAACCTCCAGAATCTTTTCAAGGCCCGAGCGAAGGTGCTGGCCCAGAGGCACGGTGGGCTGCGTCGGGTTATGCTGGGAGGACACGCGGGGTTGGGATGAGCGCACCTCCTCCTCCTCCTCCTCCTCCTCCTCCTCCTCCTTCTCCTCCTCCTCCCCCCTCCTCCCCAGGAGGTTTCGGAAATTGAGGTTCGGGCTCGTAAGAGACTCCTCAGGACTGAGGACTGACGCGCAGAGGACGCAGGGGACCTGAGAACACGCCCGCTCCGTGCCCAGCGGCACGGTGGCAAACTCGAGCGAATATTGGCATCACGATTGCTAGCTATATTACACGCAGAGTCTGGAGAATGAGTGCACTTTTCCTGGGCATGAAGGCAGCGGAACCCGGAGGAGAGAAGTTAGTTCATGGGGCTCTCTGCAGGCCCCGGGGCCATCGGAGGCAGACCCGGAGCGAAGAGCCAGGCCCGGGCCCTGCGGAGAGAGCCCCGGGGCCCGGTGCGCGTTGTCGCCGGGATCCGCGCTCCTCGGCTCAACGCCCTCGTGGTGCGCCGCGGGGGCGGCCAGCTGAAGCGAAGATTCAGATCGCCGTTTCTCGGGACGCGGAATTAAGGACGTACGAGTGCTATGCGCCTCCTTTGGAGACACTTGTCCGAACAGTATTTCGAACATACCATGTTATATCGTTACCCCGGCGGCATTGCCAACAAAAAACGCCCGCCACGGAGCACATCCGCAATTGTGCCCTCGGGCACGGGTTGGAGTGTGATCGGGTCCCTTGATCATCCCCTGAGCCTCAGCTCTCCGATCCTAAGAGCCGGGCGTTGCAATGTTTTGGCGCTGTGAGTTATCGAGATGTTGCAATGCCTTCGGGCTTTGGGATCTCAGGGTCGAGGAGGAGGAGGAGGAGGAGGAGGAGGGGGAGGGGGAGGATGAGGGGGAGGGCCGAGGCTTCTGGACGGTAGTTGGGGCCGCTCTCGTAGTGGTTTTCCGTAGCAGACCTCCTGCCCCTCCGCCACGACCGAGCGCCGCTTCTGAATCAGCAGGAGTTCGAAGAAGTTCGAGGACCCCCCCCCTACATGTCAGGATCTTCGCAATTGCTTTTCAACTTCGCGAGCAGGGCTGCTTCTTCTCCGTTTTTTTGCACTATGAAAGGACGGCCTCCCTGCATGTATCCCAAGTCGGCGCGAAATGTCATTTGATTCATCACTTTATGCGGGTGGTACTTTCATTTCTCTTATGTTTGAGGGCGCAAGTAGCCTGAAGCCTGACCGCGCGTGCGATTGATCTGGCCATCGAAAACATGCAGAAGCATACATGTTCGAAGGTCCGCGCGGATTTGTAGCGCCGATTCAATACGTCTGCGCGTGCCTCCGAAAGTGCTTACGCAGGTATTTCGCCTTCTAGGCCAGGCGATGGATGATTGCGACCTCAGATGGCCTGCAAGTTTGCGACGATAGCTAATGGCCACGTCGGGGTCCATCTTCCTGCCTCCGTCGAGTCGCCGATCGCCCAATTGGGCCAGGCCTCAAAGCAAAGCCAGAGCTCAACGGGGTGAAGGGCACGGTCTCGAAGTTCGAGGAGGAGAAGCAGAGGTGGGCGGTCAGGCCGCCTTCTAGCAGTAACACTCATTGCCGATGCCATTCCTTCCAGCACAAGACGCTGAAATAAGGACCGCGTCAGGCTCAAGAGGGTCTCGGGGTTTCGGGCCGTTCCTGATACTCGTGTCGTGGAACCTGTTCTTGGCCCAGACCCCTTGTGGCCAACAAAGCATGCCGTTCCTTATGTTGTGCTCCTCACGGTCGCACCATGACTGCATCCCGCCTCCTGCACAGTGTTGATATTCCCCACGGCCTCTTGACAGATCGTTATCCCGCCAGCGGCAAGAGCTTGGAGGGTCTCTCCGAAGGGCTCAGGCGACCCGTCCTCCTCCTCCTCCTGCTCCTCCTCCTCCTCCTCCCCCTCCTCCTCCTCCTCATCCTCCCTCCTCCTCCTCCTCCTCCTCCTCCTGTGGCCTCATGTGCGGGGATGGTTCAAACTTCGTCCGCCGAGTGCGCCAAGCTCTCCAGAAGGGCGAGTCGCTGTTTGGAAGACTCGTCTGCGTGGTCCGGTGGTAGGCGCTCTTGCGCGTGCAAGCGCGCCCACAAGCCCCCCACCAGCAAGCTCTCGAGAACCAAAGCCGTGAATGGCACTGGAACGCTGGAGGCAGATACGGCGGCTGCAGCAGGGGACTTCTAGGCCCCCCGCCAGACTCTCCATAACTGATAATCGCTTTCTCGAGGCGCCTCGCCGTTTTGGCTTGCGGGTCTTTGCAACACGAGCGAGGCAGTTGGGCTCAGTAGGCGCCGAAGATCTGGATTCGCCCGTGGGCTTTTATATGAAAGGGCGCTGTGAGGCATTCCGCTTGGGCAACATGTGTCGCATGTTCGGGCGCAGGATTCCCATGCTGGGGTTGCCGTGGAGGTTCGCAGCTGCCGCTCGGGTGTTGTTCCCACCCTGTGGTAAGAAGCACCAGTGGGCTCCAGAACGCCATTATGACTGTTTCCCACAATGTTTGGACGAACCCCATGGAAGGTCAATGTTTTAGCGTAGTCTTGCATTGGTGTGTGAACCAACATGCCATGTGAGTGTAATAGCGTATGCTGCGCCAAGTCTGTTCCACGATTGCGCTGGGTATCCTGCCCGGCCTTCTAGAACCTGAAACCAAGTTCTACAAGGAGATGTGTCGAGTTCCTATGTTCAGGCACATCCATGCTGTGTCTCGGTGTTTCACGAAACACCGAGTTCGAGGGTTTGGCGAGGCGTACATGAGGGGATGTGCCTCTCTTGGAGGGTCTGGCATGTTCTTGCGTCGTCTGACTTAATATACCAGAACGTGGTATGTCACTCAACGCTACGCTAGTCAACGCTGTTACATGGCCTTCAGCGTGATGGTGTTCTGTGCTATACGTGGTCTCATGAATCTGGCATGCCATGCGAGACCGTTCTACGCGATGCAATGCATGGTTTGGCTATGTCGTGTTGTTGACCGCATGCCCCAGATAATCAAGCCTACCCCCCTTCACACCACTTAGCTGATCATCTCCAGCCTCGACAGTTTTGCGCGGCGGAGGGCTGACGGGGGGCCGAATTTGATTATCACCAGGGAAAGTACCAGTCGTAGACAGAAGCTTAGGCTCATGATTACCACGATCATCATCAACAGCAGCAGCATCATCATCATCCTTGCCATTGCCATTATTAACATCATCCCACCCCTCCAGGGAGGCCCCGTCTGAGCGAGCATGGCATCGCTATGCCGCAGTCGTTGTCTGGATTCCTACTCCTCCCACCCCTCCAGGGAGGCCCCGCAAGAGCGAGCACGGCTTACCATAGGACATGTCGTACATCCGTGCATTCCGAAAGAGTACGTTCATTCCTCCTCCCCCTTCTTTATGCTACCACCTGCTGGGAAAAGTTCATTTTCTCCTGGAACCCAGATGTTTGTATCCTCGCCCTGTGATTATCGGGGGCGCTCTGTTACATGGTATGACGGTACGATGTGCCGCGATGCTCGGTGTCGGTAATAATTCGTGCTACATGTTACGTTGTTCTGGACTAGGGCATCCAATGTTATGCAACCGTGTTACCTCAAGACGTCATCTACAGTGGTATACACGGGCATGTCGTAAAATTAGATTCCATGTTATGCTACAAGATGGCCCGCGCTGTTATACCACAGTGCGCTACTCCATGGTACGGCACGGTGTGCGCCATGCTGTGGCGTGTTTTGTTGCAAACGATCTACGTACCACAGTGCTCGAATGAAGCTTCTGTGCGCCAATGTTGCTTTGCTGTGTGTTCTATTCTTCATGAGTATGACGGTTGTTGTGGGCCAGCTTTGGATTGTGCCTAGAGGTTTTCGGGGTTGGAGCCCTATTGGAGAGGTTCTCGGGGTCTTCGGGTCGTGCCAGACTTCGTGAAACCTTCTAAGCGGACTTTCCAGTTATCATGGAGCCCTTGTTCGGCTGTCTCCAAGTCGCTTTTCAGAGCCCGTCACGGTTGTGGGGGGCATTAGGGGATGCCTGATAGAGCGGCACCCGACGAACGCGGCGCGGGCGGGGGAGGGAAGGGGGTGCCCGTCCCCCCGGGCACTCGAGACTCTCTCCTTCCCGCGCGCGGGCTCCGCCCACCCCCCACCCACCTCCTCTCCGGCACTCGGGACTCTCTCCTTCCCGCGCGTTGGGCCCCCCCTCTCCCCTCCTCTGGCACTCGAGACGCTCCTTCCCGCGCGCGCCCTCCCCCCCCTCCCTCTTCGGGCACTCCAGACTCTCTCCTCCCCGCACGCGGGGGAAGGTGCGGGCGACGTGGCGACTGGCGGCGTCGCGACTAGACTAGCATCGCCTTGCCTCGCATCTCGGGCGCTACTGACATGCCGAGTAGCGTGGCATGGTCCTTCTTTCGCTCTCCAGGCGGTGCCACACGTGATGAGGAACATAGACAAGGCGTTCTTGTTCCGCCACGCTGCGCTGC